GTTTCTGTATTCTTGATTTACCCATTAGGCCAATCTGGCCAGTTCCTTGCACCTAATTTTGGTGCAGCAGCTATATTTCAATTCATCCTCCTTTTCCAGGGGCTTCATAATTGGACATCAAACATATCTCATATGATGGGAGTAGCTGGTGCATTGGTACTGTTCTGCAATATGCTACTCATGGTGCTACTGAACCTTTCACTTAACTACTTTGGAATCAGTTAAAATCATCGCCCAAGGAACAATGGCCACGTGCAGAATCTTGCCAAGTATGGCAGGTTCTCCATAAATCCTTCTATTACTACTCACTAGCTGATCCTATGGTAGATCGTCCCCCTCAAAAAAAAGGTTGGAAGAAAAGCTGCTCCTTGTACTGCATTTTTTACTTGGAAGGCAGAACAAGAAGTATTCTCTCCAGATGCGCTGATGAGACAAGGAAGAACCTTGATGAATGGCTGTTTCTTATGCCTAAAAGAGTCTCAATTCCCTAACCATCTTCTTCCTTCGTGCCCTGAAGTTAGAAAGCCTCAGGAGTCAGCTCTTTTTCTTCATATTATTAGCTAGGTCTTGAGTAGCTCAGTTGGGGATGAAATTATAGGCTCGCAATGATATTGTGGCGGCAAGACCTAAAAGGAAACCCATCTCGCTCATTTCTCTTTCTATTTTTGAGGGACATTTTGAAGGATATAAAATGGCAAATATTTTTAGAATTTTTTCCTCTTCTTCTCTTCCATTAAGTATCATTGGTCCAGAACCCTCTCTGTTTTCCCTAAGAGTCATCCAATTCAAAATGGGGTTAATTTAAGTGATCTCATTTATTTACTGCCTTTGAGAGAGTTGCAAGCCTTGTAAATTTGGACAAGGCTGCAAATAGCCCTGCGTTGCAGCTTTTAATCAAGTATCTAATCTTTTTCTTCCCAAAGAAGAATAAAATAAATATAACACACATCTACGAAGCAAGTACGGTGATACACGATACTTGCACAACATGACATGCATCTAAATAAGAATATGTTGATAGCGGATGCTTATATATCATGATATCTACACATATTTTAATACGGCATGACGGCAATTCATTTAATAAAAGCATTAAGTATATAAGATAGGAAAAAGATTCATTTTTACATCAAATTGAAAGGAAATATTTTTAAAACTGTGAAGTAAACATGTTTCACAATTTAAATTTCATCTTTTAATTTGAAAAATTAAAGCCCAGAACAGTCAAAGGCAATACAAACTAAACTCTTCTAAAGTTAAGCAACAAGTGTATGCTTTTGAGAAAAATGAATATGCATTTACGGTATATAATTGGCAGAAACAGGATATGCTTATAGTCTTACACACACAAGTACATTGTTAGAAAAATAAAACGGAAAGAGAAAATAGTTAATGCTCCACATTACATGAATCTGGGTTAATAACAGACCACTTTAACTTTCCTTTTCCTGCTATAACTGCTCCATGATGACTACAGTGATTGAGCATGCAAGGGCCTAGGCTG